AAAGCGTACAGCAGGAAGAATGCCTGCATGTGGTCGGGTGTTATCAATAATTCAGATGGCTGCAGATCGGCAAACAGAGCGTGTTTAAGCAGTTTCCTCCTTGAGCTGAGTGAGTCCTGCAGGCGCTGCTCCTCGCTGACTGGCGTGCTGCTGCTCCCAGGGGAGTGCATTTCTGAGCTGCTTCCTCACTGCTGCCATTGCTGCGGTGTAGGTGTGCAACCACACGTCCTCCTGTGCTGGGATGGAGATGCCAGCAAGGAGGGAAAGCGCTGAGCAGGCATGCAGAAGGAGGGGATGGTGGTGGTCAGATGGTTCTGTAGCAGAGGAACCTTGAGGAAGGCTCTTTCTTCCCATAAATCCCAGCATCACCTGTGGGACCATGCAGGGACACCACAGGGGCCTGTGCAGGACTGGCTCATTGCCTGCTGCCCCACAAACACCTCCACCTGTGGGCAGTGCTGCTCCGGGCACAAAGCTGGCAGGAGGAGATGGAATGAATGTCTGTGTTTTCCCTTCCCTGAGCCCATGGGTTTGATTTTAGGGTGATTTTCCCAAGGATCACAGGGATCTCTGAGATCCCGAGCGCCTGTCAAAGGATCCTCCCTGGGTCCTTGAAGCACAGCAACCAAACCTTCCGCTCCCCCCCCCACACACAAGGGGAAGCCGTGGGCTTTGTGTTCCATTGAGCCATTTCCATCAGGGCAGTTGCCAGCGTGTTCTGCATTGTCAGGAGGAGGAACGTTCCTCCTTGACTCCTTTCCTCCTGCCCTTGAGTAACATAGAGACTGAAAGGAGAACTTCTCCCTCATTAACAAGCTTTCCAACTGTTAATTTTGAGGTTTGCCCTTTGCTCGAGCTGCAGGCTCGACCCACTTGGTGTCTCGAGGAGGTGAAACAAGGTGGAAAATGGGCAGGGAGTCTATTCATACCGAAGTATTGCTGCTGTTGATCTGAATTGCTGCAAATTACCTTTCTTTCACTGCAGGTGTGTCTGGTGGAAGAAGGGGCAGAGCTGTGATTGACCCAGGAGGGTTTGGACGGTGGCCAAGGATGGTGAGTACGTGGTCTGGTCTGCCTGTGTCCCAGTGGGGCTGCTTGTTCTTTGTGGTCAACAGCTGTGCTGCTGCTAAATGTGAGAATAAACGTGAGGAGAAAGAACAGGAACAGGCTGCCCAAGGAGGCTGTGGATGCCCCATCCCTGCAGGCATTCGAGGCCAGGCTGGATGTGGCTCTGGGCAGCCTGGGCTGCTGGTTGGTGACCCTGCACACAGCAGGGGCTTGGAGCTGGATGAGCACTGTGCTCCTTTGCAACCCAGGCCATTCTAGGATTCCAAGAATGCTGTAGTACTATGTATGTTATGTGATTGCATAACATAAAGAGCTCTGAGCTGTGGCTGTATCCATGATGCTGTTGGTAAGGTGAATTTACCTCTAAACTTGTTCCTGGAATATACAAGTAAGGCTGGAATCCTGCCTCCTTGGAGTAGAGACACCTATGCATTGCTTTTGGCTGATTTACTTTAAATCTTAAAGCTGGGAGTTCTTCTGTTCCTCTCTCACTTCTTAATGAAGAATTAACTCCATGTTAACGATGTGCTTTGGTGATGCTGAGATAGCAGAGATTGCACAATAATTAGTCTGCAAAAAGCATGGTTTGAAAGAATGCGGAGGGGCTGAAATGCAGCCAGGACAGCCAGATTGCTGATAAACTCAGGTAAGGATTTTGTACTGTGCTTTCTCAATGTTTTATTTGCCCTTGGTAGGTTTTTCTTTCACAAATTCATCTAACCTGCCTTCAAAGCCAACTGGGGAGCTGCAGCTGTGACGTGCTGCGGCAAGGAGCCGCACTCACCGAGGAGGTGGCCCCTTTTGCTCTGACTTTGAACCCACTCTGTAGCATTTTGGTTGGTGGCCACAAGTTTTTGTGGATCTGAATGCTGGCACTGCCTGCGAGCTGTTCCAGCCCCGGAGCATTCTGTGGGTCTGTCACATTCCCTTTGACCTTATTCTCTGTTCAGATGTTTGCTCATGTCTCTAATCCTTGTCCCTGCTCTTGGGGCCTCTACCCCTTTTTGTGGAGCATGGGCTGGAACTTCAGACTTACATAGATATGGGAGCCTTTGCTTTTCAGTGGGCTCCTCTTATGTGTGTGGATAGATGCTTAATCTGAGCCAGCCCTTAGTTTTAACTATGAATAGTTTGGTTTATTGTAGCAGCAGGGGAAGGTAGAGCTGCCTGACAGCCTCTGCTGGATCCTTCCCTGAGCTCTGCTCCGGGACTTCGGGTTCAGTGCAGATCTGCAGGGGGTGCTGGAGGCCGAGTGCTGGCAGTGCTTGGGCAAATCCAGCCAGCTCCACTGTCTGCTTGGCAGTGCAGTTCCCTGCAGGCGGGCCGAGCTGTAATTAATTACCCATGATGTCTGTAGTGACTGCAGTCAGAGGGCAGAGCAGCAGTGCCCGCTGGTTAACAAGGACATGTCCCAAAGCTGGATCCTTGCTCCACAGCACCCGCGTGCGGAGCTGCAGCTGCTCTGCCATGCTTGGTGGGGCAGCAGTTAAGGCTTTGTTTGCATTGACTGTAAGAATCTCTTCATTTCTCCCCCAAAGAGAGCTGAAAACTCTCAAACTGCAGCTGAAAACGACCTTGAGGACTACTGGTGGTTTAATCCTTAACTGTGGCTCATTGAGGTCCTAATGAGCAGCCAGCACCTTAATACATTACCTAAAACTAACCTTGCAGGTGAGAGGGCGGGCTCAGCTCTGCCCGTAGTCCTTACTGCTCTCTGTGCCCCACTGCTGTGACTTCAGGCACTGGGATTGCCACCTCCATTCGTTCCCTTGGGGTTAGGTGCTGTGGGGTGGCTCAGCCACCACATCCCATCTTGCTGACACGGGGAACCATGTCCTTCTGTCTTCATCCCAAAGGCTCCTCACCCCCTGCTTGTGTTACACACTCGCTCTTGGGAGCTTAAAGTAACACTAAATGCAGAGCATAGCAGACCTGCAACCTCTTCTGTCATCTTTTAAAGATCAGAAGCTGACGCTGACCATCCCTGCCCCAGTTTATGGGATATAAAGCAGTAACTTCTCCTCTTCACACGAGCTGAGGGTTCTATTTTTGGAAGGCCACCTGAGTGGCTCAGCAGGCCTTCGGTTCACCAAGCACCGCTGTAGGCTTTGAGGAAATGAGCTATTTTTGTAGAGACCCAACACAAAGCTGCCCTTTGTGCTGCAGGAGCAGGGGAGGCAGGACAAGCAGCCCTGCTGGCGGCAGCTCTTCAGCCATCAGCATCCATTTGTGTGCAGAATGGGGATCCGTTTCCACTTCTGGGATGTGGGAGCATCTGCCCGAGGCAGTTCCCTCCCCCTGCCTGTTTCCCCTGCTGTTCTCCCCCAGTGGGGTGGATCAGGGCAGCCCCAGGGGCAGGGCTGTGTGTTCCTCTCTGCCTCCGTTGCCACAGCCCCATTCTCTCTCTGCAGGAGTTCTCTCCCAGCGTGATGCTGCAGTGACAGAAAGCCCCACCACCGCCATGCAGAAGCAATAGCAGTGCTGCCCTCTGCCTAACGTAGGAGCACTGACAGCAGCTGAGTGAAATGGAGGACAAAGGTGCTCCAGGATTGGGAAGGGCACACCTGTGCTCAGGGTCTGGCTGTAAGAGGTTCCCCTCTGTGCCTGCAGGAATGTCTGCGTGCACAGCACTTGGAGGAGCCCGGCTGTGTGAGAGGAGCTGTGTCATCCTGGTGTGGTCTCATGATGTTAGCAACAGCAGAGGGAATACCAGCTGGGGAGACACCTGACTTGGCATTTAGGAAATGCCGTGAGCGAAGGCAGCTGAGAGGAGGCTGCACGGACACGAGAGCAGGGACTTAGTGATGTGAGATGGTCGTAGGGGCTGTGCTTGCAGCAGGGAGAGGTGCAGGTGGTACGGTTTGAAACTCTGCAAGCCCCTTACGTGTTGCTTAGGGGTGGGGCTGCTGTGCACCAGGCTTGGCTCTGGGGTTGCCCTAAACTGGGTACAAGACCTCTTCTGATGCTGCAAATGCAAAAATATTTTACTTAAAGGGCAAAGTCTGTTTGTGGATGTTAAGGGCAGCTTAGATTGGAAATTCAAGGCAAGGATCAGACAAGGAGCCCTTTAGCCCTGCACAGCTGCAGCTTAGGTTTGCAAAGGTCCCTCTGCAACCTGAGCTGGAAGCAGCCCTGGTGCCAGCCCCAAGGGGAGCACTGCACCCAACCTAACAGCCCACCAGGCTTCCAATCAGGTCTGCTGGGGCACCCGTATGTGCCAAGCAAGTGCTGGATCAGGGCAGAACTGAGATAGTTATAGGATTTGGTGGCAGGCATGGCAGGGCTTTTATCCAGCATCCAAATAGTACAGCCTGCGTGGTGTGTGCTCCTGAGTTTCCTGCAGGGAGCTTGTTGCCTGGGCAGGCAGCACAGCTGAGTGCTGCAAAGCTTCGAGTGCTCTAACTCTTAATATTTTCGTAGAGAAATGCACAAATCCCTTTATGAGAGTGCAGAAAACCTTTCGGGATGCTGTTGGTGTCGCCAGCTGGAGCTGTCTGGTGGTGGCAGGGCGCAACGTGGCAGCTGCCTCTCGGAGAACGGCAGCCGGTGATGGGAACAGAGGTGGCATTTCCCAGAAGAACGCCGTCCTGCGGCTCTGGGACGGCAGGGCTGCGACCTGGGAGCGTGCAGAGCACCTACAGGGGCTGCAACGAGAGCGGGCAGGAGCCGGGCATCCTGCAAATCCCTGAGCACGCGGCAGCTGCTGGGGCGTCCTTCAGCAAAAGGCAGCGGAGCAGCAGAAAATGGAGAGCTCTGTGCCGGAGGACGGAGCCGAGCGTTGCAGCAGAGCTGCGGCACAAAGCTGCTCGCTGCCATTGTTCCCAGCACCGGCAGCCATTGCCACGGGTCCAGACCGCGGCTCCTGGCAGCCGCTCGAGGAGGAGATCGCGCCGGGCTCTGCGCATGGGGACGGGAGGGGGAGAGGAGGGGTGATCCCTGCCGGCCTCTCCATTTTCTGTCTCGCCTGTCGGGGAGACGCTTAGATGGCAGAGCCCTGCTCCGCGTCCCTGAGAGGTAGGTGGAGTCTGGGCGTCCTCCGCCCTCCTTCCCTCCATTGTCAGTGCTGTGAGCGCGGCACCTGCTCCGGCCGCCGGCTGCAGGGATGCTCCTACCCTCCACCAAGCACTGGCGAGGCTGCGGCAATCCCTGCGCCGGCGCCCGGCAGCCGCTGCCGGCAGCAGCACGGAGCCCAAGGAAGGAGATGCTGCTTGCGCTCGGCTGCCGCCTCGGGAAGTGAACATGAGTCTGCCAGGCCGCGTCTCCTGCTCCATGCTCAACTGCTTTGTAAGTGCTTTTTTTGTTGTTGTTGTTGTGTTTTTTCCATCTCCCTGTCTGTTCCAGAGCTGCGTGCCAGCTCTGTGCTCAGACGCTGCCCCTGATCAGGCCCATCCTTGAGGCTGGGCCCCGCTGCCCCAGCTTGGCATCCCGCCGCTTCTCACCGAGGGGAGGCCCTTCTCCTCCCTCCACGTGCCCCAGGAGACACCGTGGGGCACCATCCCGGTGCCGTGCCCCAAGCCGAGGGCACAGCAGCCAGCTGAAGGCCCCGTGGCTCCCTGCCTGGTGCTGGGAAATCACCGTGCAGAGCTGCAGTGCCGGGGGAGCTCCGTGCTCCCACACAGCAAGGCTGCGAGACTCTTCCTGGGGGTCCTGAGCTCCATCTTTTGTGCCTTATGGGAAAGTGGCTCTGCTCGGAGATCTGCAGGAAGCCCCCACAGCAGGAACTTGTGGCCGAACGGCTTCAGGAGCTGACTGTGCTGTGAGCAGTGAGGGGTGCCAAGAGGCCGCCCCAGGAGGGGCTGAGTCTCACACCTTCCCACAGCAGGGAGGGACTCAAGGACGCCGGGGCTGCTCTGTCCCAGTTCCTGCTGCTCGCCAGGTTTTCATTGTGAGCTGCCAGGCACTGATGAGGGGCTGCCCTCCCTGCTTGGGCCCACCCCACAGCCTGGCCTGCACCCGGGGCGGTGCCGCTCCCCTTGCCCCCCCTGCGGCATGTGGGGCCCAGTGCATGTATGAGGAGATGCTGCAGCCATGCTGGGATGGATGCTGGGTTTCACAGCTGCTCGGGCAGCTGGCTGTGACCCCCACCGTGCCACACATCTCCCTGCCTGTGTCCCAGGAAGGGCTCTGCTATGGGGCCGTGGGCCTTTGGAACAGGAGGGGGTCCCGAGTCACGTGTTCAGCACTGGACGTGGCCCACAGACACTTTCTTTTTAATCTCTGATGAGAAAATATGGAGATTCAGCATCCTTTGAAATATAACTGAAGCAAAAGGGTTGGGTTCTCATTTCCTCAGGTTGAAATCTGGAGGTTCTAGCCCAGGCAGCTCAGCCAGAAAGGTATTTTGTTTTAAATTCTGTATGATAGGTAATGCTTGCAGGACAGAGTGTTTCCTAATAACCGCTGGAGCTTGTAGGGGAGTGGTGGGGAGCAGCAGGCATTCTGAAGAAGTGCTCCTGCACCCAAGTCCTTTAACACATGGAATGGACGCATCCTCAGCCTCTGTCCTCTGCTCATGTCTGGGTGCTGCTCACTTGCATGAAGTGGTCAGGCAGAAACCAGGCTGAGAGCTGATGTAAGATAGGACCAGGATTTCCTGAGTGATTGCATGTTGGCAGGTCCCCCATTGAGACACTCCTCACTGCCCCAAGAGAGGTGTCTAGGCTCCTTGTGTCTCCTCAGGACACCTCTCCAGGCCACGTCAGGCTTCCCAGGTTCAGTGCTTTGCAGGAAGAATGCCTTGCTTTGCTGCTGGCACTGCTCAGGTCTTGTGATGTGGGTATACCTGCACCCGATTGCTGTAGGATTGTTTCACACTTCCATATTCTTCTCAAAAAAAAATCAGGGCCTGCACAATTATCTCAGGGCTGAGAGTGAGAAAAACAATTGCCCAAAGAAGGCAGTCCTTGGTAACAGCAGGAAGAGGTCAGAGCTGGGCTGTGGGTGGAACCCTGTGTGTTTGCGTTGCTGTGGTTCCACAATGAAGCTCACAGGGTCACCTCTGCCACGATAAGTCACTGTCACATCCCTCGAGGTGCATCACTGAGGTTATCTGCTCAGCTTTCCACCAACCGTGGGGCTTGAAGAGACACGACTGGGAGACCGATTTCAGATCACTGTTGTGCTGTGGGCGTTGTGCCATAGCTGGGCTCAGGGAGCTGTGTGCAGAGGCAGAACGTCCATTTCCATCCACAGGTCGGGGGATCCCCAACACGCTGTGATGCCAGGAGCATCCTGCAGCCCGGATGTTTTTCATAGCATGCAGTAGCTGGGGCCCTTCTCTCAACGCGTGTTTTCTTTGCAATGCAGGGTGAGGAAGGCCCCCCCAGTTTGGAGTACATCCAGGCCAAGGACTTGTTCCCCCCAAAGGAGCTTATAAAGGAGGAAGAGTCATTGCAGGTAAGGAAGTAAGAAGACAGAAATCATCTGCTTTGGGATGCAGCAGGCTGAGCTCTGTGACATGAAACCTGAGAGCACTTCTCCAGGCCAGGACGTGCTCTGGAGCTGCAGGTTCAGCAGTGCTGTACATCAGCTCGTGCTGGCAAGCCCTTCCATGTGTATGGAGGCTGGGAGCAGCTGCTCAGTGCTCGCTGCCCTCCTTGACTGCCATGACTTTGCAGTGCACACAGCATCACATCTGCCTCTGGGAAATACAGCTGGAGTGTGATGCAATGCTGCCAGGCTGGGTGTTCCCCATCCTCCACCTGTGCTGGCAGTGAGGAGCAGTGATGCTCTGGCGCTGTGCAGCAGGAGGCCCTCTGTGGGACAGGTTGCGTGTCAGAGCTGGGCTGTGCCATAGGAGGCAATAGCCATATTGCAACAGCTGATCTGGCTCTCACATACGTTGGCATTTTCCTGCTGCTGAGCTGCTGGAAAGAGGAGTCTCTATATTGTGCCAGCCTCATGCTGCAAGAGGCTCTTGAAAGAGACCCAGCTACTATCCCTGCTGTGCAGCAGGGGCAGCAGAGCCAAACCTCCTGGTTCTCCTCTTAGCATAGTCTGCTGCCACCTCATCCCAGCACTCGTCATCCTCCTGTGGCCAGAGCCAGGCCTGCTGCGTGTCTTCTTCCCACTGCTGCAGCAGTCGAGTTTGCTCAGTGGCCAGCATTGTCTGCTACCAGTGCTGGGAAGGAGGACTGAGATGTGGCAGCTGCAGGCTTGGCTGGGCAAGAGCACAGGGGTTGAGGATGCTGTGGGGCTGCAGCCTTCAGAGGGTGGAGTCCTGGGGTGGCTGCAACACAGGCGAGCTAAAAGCAGCATAGGAAAGCGTGCATAGCAGACTGCAAAATGAAGAGAGTATGTTTTCTTACTGTCAAATAATTAATATTTTAGAGGCTTTCCAGACAGGTGCCAGTCTCAGGTTGTTATTTTTGTACCAGTAACTTAAGAAGGAAGGACTCCTTGGTACAACTGCCACTCTCACAGCACATCACGTCTGAAAGCCAGGAAATCCAGTTTTTAGGCAGTGCATTTACAAACCATAGAAACAGCTCAGAAATAAAGGCTGCGTGGTCTGACTTGTACTAATTACAGTATAATGAATTGTTTAATCAGATGCCCTGCCTGGAAAGCAAAGGGCTCTGGTTGAAGTGATGAACAGTTGTGACATTTCTGCACAATTTGGTTACCAACACCACCTGATGTGGGTGGCATTCAGGGAACAAGGAGCCTACTTAGCTAGAGAAAAAGGGGCCTGACGAATTCTAGGGTGGGCCATCTTTTCTTTTCCACATGTACACAAAAAGAATGTAAAACTTGGCCATCTACCAGCATCCCTTGTTTTAAAATTAGCTACAGCGTGTTCTGGGCTGATAGGGAAAGCCAGAAAGATGTTGGATTTATCTGCTATCTGGATTTAAAAAAAAAAAATAAAATCTAACCTAGGTTACTTCATTGTACAACCAAGCACTGCACAGAGATTCCTTCACAGCCTGGTTAGCAGAAGGTGGGCCAGCCTTTGCCATTTACCTGCAGTGGTGCCCAGCAGCCTCGTGGTGCTGCTGCCCCCTCTCTCTGGGGCTGTGCAGCACACAGGCAGTGGGAGGAGCGGCTGCTGGCACTTCGTGGTGCTCAGAGCCCCCAGCATGCCTTGAACTTGTCGTGTCTCCCTTGCAGGTCCCGTTCACTGTGTTGCAGGGTGAGGGAGTGGAGTATCTTGGCCATGCAAACGATGCTGTGATCGCCATCTCCAACTACCGGCTTCATATCAAATTCAAGGATTCTGTGATCAACGTAAGTCCGGATCTTCCCATTCTTTCTTCCTAAACTGTTACCTCTTGTAGTATTTTGGGGGGGGAATAAGCAATTTCTCTGGTTTGCAACGTGAGAACTGGGCCTCTAAGCTGCCAAGCTTGATGTTGTCTCTTGTTACTGTTGGTCATGCAGTTATTGGAGTGCAGGTGGGGTGCTCCTATGGATGATAATTAGGTCTTTCCCTTGTTCTTTTTAAAATCCAGCATTAAGCTCAGAGGTTTTAGGAGTGGTAGGATACCGTTCCTCAGCATGAGAGAGTCAGCTGGTGGGAGCCTGAGGCTTTCTCTCACTGTCTGCACTTGCCATCTTTTATTGGAGCCTTTGGTTGGTTGTGGTTTGGTCTGTAACTGGTGGTTTGTAACTTTGGTCTCCCATGGTGGGAGGCTGCACAGGGACAACTAGAAATCAGGCTGGTGATTCTTGAAGGAGATTCTGTGCTGCATCATGAAGCATCATAGAGTGGGTTTGTAGTTTGGGCTGGGGTCTGGTGTTAGCTGATAGAGCCCCATCTGGGCACCACAGGCTGTGGGCAGGGCTGCTGTGCCTGCTGCTGCGGTGCTGCCATGCCCTCCTTCTGTCCCTTGCAGGTGCCTTTGAGGATGATGGAAAGCGTGGAGTGCCGGGATATGTTCCAGCTTCACATCGTCTGCAAGGACTCCAAAGTGATCAGGTATCCCTTGCTGTAGATGCCACTGCATCTGCTCTGACACCTGCCTTTGCACTGTCATTGGAGTGAAGCCGTTTCTAAAGGTTGCTCTGTTTTTTGTAAGAATTGATGCTTTGTTCATTTTTCTGGTTAAGCAGAGCTCCCTGTCTGTGTCCCAGCAGGATGTATGTACTTGCTGAGCATGATTTGCATTTGCAGGTGCCATTTTTCCACCTTCAAGCAGTGCCAGGAGTGGCTGAAGAGACTAAATCGAGCCATTGCCCGCCCTGCTAAGCCTGAGGACCTCTTTGCATTTGCCTACCATGCGTGGTGCTTAGGAGTCTGTGTTGATGAGGAAGATCAGCATGCACATCTGTGCCGTCCAGGTAAAATCCCGGCCTGTCCCCTTCTTGTTTATCTGTCTAGAAGTACAGTGATGCAATTGTTCATAAAGTGGTTTCTCACCATGTCTTAGATCGTGCTGTAGCCATAGCCCAAGTCCATCTTGCTCAGCAGCATCCCACACCTGGCCCAGGCATCCAGCTGATGTCCAGATGCAGTAAAAGGAATGATAACAGTATGCAAAATATGGGGCATTCTGAGGCAGCAGCACTTAAATCCCCTTTCCCTTTCTCCTTGTGAATGAAGGAAACGTTCCATACTTCAACACTTTCATCACGATAATGAGGCAGCTCAAGCAGCAAATGTCATCTGCACTGAGGCAGCATAATTAATATCAGCACATCTCCATCCCTTCTCCAACACTTAGAAATGCCATGGCATTCCCAGGATGGGCCTGCAGAGGTGTGGCTCATTCTTGCACAGGCTCAAATGAAATACTTGAATCCATATAGAAAGAAACAGAGCTGTGATGGTGCCCTCGTGTGGATCACGAGTTTGCCCTCTCCTGGAACACAAAGTTCATTTGCAGTTGCTTTCTTTTTGTAAAGCTTCAATGTGAATAAGAGGAAATTGAGTAGTGTGATGATCATGGCTTTACATTTAGAAATTTACTGGAATTAGAGGAGAGAAGCAGTAACCTCAGTGAGATGTGCAAACGCAGGTTTGTATGGAGAGATGGGGGATAAATACTGCAGCTGAAAGGTACTAAAAAGAATTTGGTAGGGAAAAAAATAAGCTCTGTGCTTCTGCTCTGATCCAAACACCAGAAATTAGCAGATATTTCCTGTATTTCCTGTAGAGAAAATATTATTTTCTAGCATAAAGACATTTACCTGCAAAAATTGTTGCTGCTGGATATTAGTGAGGCAAAGAACACTTCAGTATTAGTTTATTGAGGAGATTTGACACTCCAACAGCAAGGACACCCAGTGTTGGTAAGATGAGACAAAAACACGAGGGGAAATTATGAATCAGCCTCTGAGAGCTGTCTGGAAGAGCTGCCCCAGGTTGAGACGCTCAGTACTCCTCTGCAGTGGGCTTCCCAGTTCCACTTTGGAAGGGAAAAGTGGATGAGATGAACGCTGCCATCGCACACGTTAGCAGAGGCTTTTTCTGTGCTGCTCCGTGCGCTGGCACTGGGAGGTGAGCTGACCTGACAAAAAGAGCAGAGGAACCCCTGCGAGGAGCCGGGCTTTATCGTATCTAAAACAAGAACCCTGCCGTCCAGCTGTCCTGGGGTTTCTCTGCAGCCTCCAATAGCTGCTGTGGAGCTGCCGCCAATATTAAAGTTTCATCAGTAAATACTCTGTGCTCTGCTATTCCAGGTGACCACGTGAGATACCGATTTGAGATGGAGCTGGTGAGGATGGGCTTTGACTTGCAGAACGTCTGGCGAGTCTCTGACATCAACAACAATTACAAGTGAGTGTTGCACCACCAGGCCTCCCTGTCCTCCGCTTTCCTTCCTTTATTCCCATCACAGTTCCCCCCGCAGAGCTGTGGATGAGTCAGGCTCCAGCTAATCCTCCTTCTGGGTCGTGCTCGCCCTCAGGCAGATCAGCATACGATCGATCGAGTTCTCCTTTCTTTCCTCCTTTCATGTCACGGAATTGAAGAGGAGTCTACCCCAAACGTAAGAGCTAGCAGCAGTTGTAGATGCTGACCCAGGCAATTTATTGTGGCCATAACTCCTCCATGAAGACTGTTAGGAGTCCGGGAGAAATCATCCATCGTAGGGTTGCCTTTGTGATGTCTCTCTAAAATGCTCATATTGAAAATGTAAAAGCTTACGTAAAGTCAGGCAGCTGTTCTCTTGTGTCAGGAAAGTGAGGACGAGGCACTGGAGGGCTGCCGTGGAGCTGAGGGGTCTGGGAGCGAGCGGGGCTTCTTTAGTTTTGCTGTAAGAGGGGCTGAAGGGTGATGTGCTTGCAGTCTACAGGGCTGGAAGGGCACTTACAAAGCGGGTGGAGTGGAGCTCTTCTGACAGTGGCAGGTGATAAAACAGGGGAGCAGTGGTCACAAGTTGCAGCTTGGGAGGTTCAGATTGGACACGGGGGGGAAATTCCTTCTTCAGAGTGGTGCTGTGCTGGGCCAGGGCCATGTGGAAGTGAGGACTCTCCATCATGAGAGCAGATCAGGTCCCAGCCTACCTGGTGCTGCAGGTGGTCCCATTGTGAGCAGGAGGACGGAGCAGGGATCTCCAGAGCCCTTTCAGCTGAGCACAGCAGCTCCTTCAGCCTGCCCTGTGCTGCTGGAGGAGCTCGTGGAGAAGCGCTTCCGCATTCTTTGCAGCAGGTGGCATTAAGCCAACAGGTTTTTACTAAGCGTTGAGTCACGTATGCAGGTCTGCATTCCCTATAAGCCCTATCTTGAAATGACTGCGATCCCTCAGTCCTTTCTCTATTTCTCAGGCAGTAAAAGCATCCCTGTCACTTTCGTATCTCCAGTTTCTTGTGGGGACCATGAGATGCCTCAGGTATGCTGGCTTGGGGTCTGCTGCCCCTTCTCATGTGTTTTCTCAGGATTCAAGGCACTAAGCACCGCGTTTGGGATTTGATTTAGAGTATGTTCTTAGCAGTACCACATCACTGCTTTTGGTCTGTTACGTGACATTGTTGGCAGTATTGACACAGTTCATCTAAGAACTAAGAAACAGGAATTCTTTTCCTGTCCTGCTCAGTGGCTGCAGGTATATCTGCCTCTTGGGAAGCAGCCACGCTGCCCCTCAGTGCAGCACTGTGGGATGTGGTTCCCTCGGGTTGCCTTGATGCCTCCAAGTGAGGTTGCCCACCTGTGCTTTGCTTCCTAACGTTTGACCCCAGACGTCACCCAGCTTCTCTGAAGACAGATGTTTTAATTTTGTCCAAACCATGGAGGAAAGAACTTGAAACAAAGCAAGCTGGCCGTGCTTTCCTTGGGTTTGCAGAGCTCCTGCCTGGGGATGCTGGCAGGTCTCAGCTTCCCTTCTGAGCAGACATCCTGAGATCTTCGAGGTGGTGTAACTGGCTTGTGCAACTCTGAAACCAGTTCTCTCTTGCCGCTCCAGGGAGTGTGTCTTTAAATCCTGCCTTGGCTTTTGATCATTACCACCTGCCTCTATTCACAGGAATCGGGTTACTTTTTAACTGTTTATAGTGCTTTTATCTTTTATTTCCCAGCATTGGCAAAACAGTGTTGTTAGAGACAGGATACTCCAAGGTAATGACTTTGTTCGTTGTCTTTCAAGTCTGCTCTGAGATGTCCTTATCTGGTAACTATTATCTTCTTCCTGGCGACAGCCATCATAAAAATAGAGCAATACAGGCCTATAATAGCCACTCCTTCAGTCTTGATATAAGTATACTCTTTCAGCATACCATCATAATAAAATTATTACATAATCCCTTCGTGGCTCTTACATCCTCAGTCGTCTCGTGAGTGTGCAGTCTGAGAGCCCCCAGCAGTGCAGCCCAGCTGCCAGAGCTAAAGCTGCTTTCCTGTTGCTCACAATGCTGGGGTTTGGTGCACATAGAGTTCTTTCACAAGTAACAAAAAATCCCCACTTTTTTTTCAGTGTCGATGCTTATTTCCAGCTTTGATCTTTTTACGGTCGTGGTTGTATTTATTTTTTGGCTTTATGAGGAAAAGCTGCCTGGAGTGCCACGTTACTGTTGGAGACAGCTGATGTTTCCCACTAATTTCTGTGACTGCTCTTAATTCATAGTTAGTCTTGTTCAAGGCCAGGCTGGATGTGGCTCTGGGCAGCCTGGTCTGCTGGTTGGCGACCCTGCACACAGCAGGGGGTTGGAACTGGATGAGCACTGTGGGCCTTTTCCCACCCAGGCCATTCTAGGATTCTAGGATTCTATTTTGTTACAGTTCTCTACAAATCATGATACTTTCCTCCATGCTTATTGGAAAGCTGGTACTTCTTGTTCTTGCTTGTATTTGCTGTATGAACATGTGGATGATAACACAAGAGAGACTGCTAGGGATGACACCCACGTTTTTACATTCTGTGAAGGAGGATCTCTTTCACTGGACGGGTTGTTGCCTTTGTGGCAAGAAGATGCTTCACTTGTGCTCGTCTGTAGGTGTGGCTGGTGCTGATGTACGTGTTTCTGTTGTTACACACCTTTTCCTGGCTTCAAACCTCAATTTCAGTGCTGTTCTGGGTCATCGTGCTCCCATATGCACAACACAGGGTCAGGCAGGCTCCATCTGGGACTCCCTCCCAAATGAAAAAGGACCAGGTGAGGTCTGTAACCGTTTCTTGTCTTTTCAAGAGTTACTCAGGACTTGAGGCGAGCTTTCTTCAAGCCTTTGGTGAGCAGCCTGTAAAAAGAAGCTCTGAAAATCCAAATCTGGGCAGCCACACGCGCTGCCTGCTTTGTGGACGCATGAGGTGCCACCTCCCTCCACAAAAGCCGTGTTGACTCTTCCCAAGTGTGCCGTGTTTACCCTTGCAGTGGCTGTGACAGTCGGTGGCTTTGTGCAGCAGTCAGGCTTAAGTGGTTTCCCACGTTCGCCCCAGAGAGCTTTTTACCGAACCCAGGCCGTGTTTGCCACCTTTCATTGCTCTGGCACCCGAGCCAATGTAAGCAATGGCTTACACATCTCAGTGAATCATTCACCTGGTGCACATTTGGGTTGCTGTGGCGATGTTGGCAGAGCATTATCTGGTCCTGCTGATTAGTTGCTCCTCATTCCTTGCAGGTAGTTCCCCCGGGTTAATCTCGCTGTGCTTTTGTCACCTGTGGAACAGGGATCGGTCTGGCAGCCTCTCTGTGTGCTCACAGCAGTGCAGATGGTTTTGATTTTCTGCTGTGACCGTGCTTATCTACCAGACCTTTAGGTGCAGTAGCAGGCTGACACCTCCAAGGTGGTGGAAAAAAGTCTTCATAGTTTTAATTTCTTCACGGGGCATTTCTTAAAACCGGCCTGACCTGCCTGATTTTCACTGTCTTTTAATTGAGGTTCCTGTTCGGCTCTTCTCAAGTTTGTGCTCTTTGGAATCATGTCCCCATGTTGCCCAGAGGTTGTGGATGCCCCCTTCCTGGGAGCACTCAAGGCCAGGCTGGATGGGGCTGTGGGCAACCTGGTCTGATGGGGGGTGTCCCTGCCTAAAGCAGGGCATTGGAATTAGGTGATCTTAAAGGTCCCTTCCAACCCAAACCGTTCTGTGATTCTATTTGTAGGAGGTTGTTTTACTGCTGAAATCCAGCTTCCATTCATTGAGATACCTCCTTTTGATCCCCTTTGACTGTTGACTGTTTGATGCCTTTTCTGAATTGCATACTGATGCTGGTAGCTCTTGGCCTCACACTTTTACCTCCACATTGTCTAGGAACAGACCACACTTTGTTTCCTAGCTCAGTTATTCTGGTCCTCCTACAAAGCTTCTACTCTGAAATCTAGGGTACCACTGATAATCCATCTTATACCAACTTGCTCTTAAGCCAGCACACTCCTTTATCCTGGCTTTTTGGTTTCTTTTAGCCGTGGGATTCTGGTCTTAGCAGCACAGGTCTGTTTGTCATCGTCTCATTGCTTGGTTTTGTGCACCCTCCTTAATTTTGACTGGACTTCTCGGGGCTGTCCTGTGTCCTAGCTGGAATTGTTTGACTTATTTGTTACGGTTTTTTTAAGAGTGCAGAGTCTCAGTGCCTTACAAGATGTTCTCCTGTACTGAAATTCCCCTGAATGCACTCTTCCCAGTTTTTAAGACATCTCCCATAATGTTTCATCTGAAGTACCAAGAAGCTGATTCTGCTTTGATGTAGATGAATGCTCTTCTTATATAGGTTGCAGCTGCTCGAAGCTCCCAATGAGCACTAACTGTGCTCAACACACCGCTGTTCTGTGCCACACTTCTATGTGATTTCCTTCCTGACCAGTTCCACACGTGGAACACGAACCCCACACACAGCCTGGCCTGGCCTTCAACCTGTTACCTGACAGCTTCGGTCTTGTTTCCTGGCTTCCCCTTCCATGCCCTATTATTATCCCACACACCCACCTTCCCTTCTGCCCAGGGCTTTCTGAGCAGCTGTCTGTACGCCACGTGCAGTGACATCTCCTTGCAGGGCAGGCAGGTCCGTGCCAGCAGCACATCCCAGCAGCACTGAGCACCGTACCGATGCCCCTTGCCACCAGCTGGGTTATCCTGTGCTGAGGGGAGCAGCAGCCACGCTCTGCACTTTACCCACGGGGTCATTTCACATTCCTCGGCCCTGAAACATTCCTTCTAAGTGATGTGGGTTGGAGCTTAGACCTGAGGCTGCTCTTTGATGTTCTGTGGGCAGGACTTGGTCTGCAGGAGCTGCAGGGCTCAGTGGGTCCAGGATCCAGGCAGTGCTTTGTCTGTGGGTCTGTGACCTGCCCTGCATGCAGCCACATGCTGTGAGCCCCGAGGCACAGCGATTGCTGCATTAGGCACGAAGCCCCTGCACTGCTGGATCTTCACTTGTGCTTCGCTTTGCTTGCGTTGCTCTCAGCCCTTCTCCCCAGCATGCTGTTTGCCCTTCTCCCTCTTTTCCTTGGGATCCCTCTTTTCCTGCTGCTAACCACTTACCACTGGCTTGTCAATGTTTTCTTAGGACTTAAGCATAAGGTAATCATGGGCTAATCGTAATTAATTATTGACTGTGCATTTTTGAAAGCGTTGTGAGAAAACCAAAACCCCACGTAGGCTCTCGTGTTTAAACCCCAGCTGTGTTCCAGAGGTATCCTTGGGAAGTGCTGTGATGCCTTGCACAGGCCCAGAGGTGAGGCCTGATGTGGAGGTTGTCTTCTCCTAGCTCACTCCTGACAGCAGTTTTTGGGTCACTTTACTCATGTTGAAATGGAACTGAGGCAGACAGGAAGAGCCCGTCCTGCATGCAGAGTTTGGGAAAATGCAAACTGCTCCTACACCGTTGCTGTACAATTTCTCTGGTGCAGATTTTGGGTGCTGAGTCTCATTTTGCCTTGCTACTTCCTTTCTTTCCAGGCTTTGTTCCAGTTATCCCCAGAAGCTGCTGGTGCCTGTCTGGATCACAGATAAGGAGCTGGAGAATGTGGCTTCGTTTAGGTCGTGGAAGAGGATCCCTGTGGTTGTGTACAGGTAAACACAAACAAGTGCTCTCCTCAGGCCCCTGATGGCTGCCCTTTGGGCAGGATTGCGAGCTTGGTCTGTGCTGGTACAGCAGGACGCTCTTCCAGAGGGAGTTCTGGTAACTGCTGCTTCTTTCTTGCTTTCAGTTAGATCTGAGGTTGGGGGTGACTGTGCTACTGAGGGAGATGCAGCAAGGGCACCGTGTCCAATTCAGGTTCTCTTTCTCTGAGTTTCAGAGTATTTTGATGCCATGATATGTGCCTGGCTTCTTTGAAAAGAAGTCTTGGCCAAAATGAGCCTGCTGCATGGCCCCTGTCAGCAAGGCAGTATCATAAAATCACGAGGTTGGAAAGGACCTACAAGATCATCTAATTCATCTGTCATCCTATAACCATTACTACCCACTAAGCTACCAAACCTCATAGCACCTCATCCAGACAAGTATTTCCAGCAGGTCCATCCAGGTCCTACCTTTTGGTACCCATCTGCAAATCATTTCCGTTTTGAGTGAGTTGTGAGAGTTTGTAAACACTGAGGTAACGGGGAGGATGAAATGTTTGCTGGTGGCTGAACATGGTTGAGTCGACAGCTGATAAATAGAGGGAGTGCCTCTTCCCTGGTCACAGCAGCCTTCCAAAAATCATCTGCATATGAGGATGCATGCAGCAAGGCAGCAAGCAAAGCAGAGATTTTCAGGGCAGGGGGTGATTTCTCTATAAACACATCTTCTGGGAGACCAGCATTTTTGAAACAAATGGGAAGTTGGTTGCATAGGTGTGCAGGAAGATACCTCACCCAGCTGGTGTGTGTTGTAATGCATATATTGTGATTTCTAGTGTCGGACTCGTTGTTAGCAATTATTAAATCCAAATTCAGAAAGCTTTGAAAATACCAGAGCTGCACAACAAAGCAAAGCCCTGGGAAGGCTTTTAGTAGAGCCAGGAAGTAAAAACAGGGAATTTATGCACACCTTAACTGTACGTCTCCGAGTTACGTGGTTTGTGTTGGATGCTGTTGGATGCTGGCAAAATGCAGTGTTGTTCTTACAAGACCTAAATTCTGCAGCAGAAGAGTAATGAGTGCTGGTTATCGTGTGGAGCTTTGCCCTCTCTGTAACCAAGTCAGCTAAGAAGTTAATTGTGTTTGTGATTACTACTGCTAAAATTGGTCTGGCATTGGAGACTGTCCCGGTGTGCTTCCCCACCCGAGGCAAAAGCGTGTCTTTTTGCTGCTCTCTGACAATTATTTTGTTCAGCACTTCATAACATCACTGTGAGGATACCCAGTCATTTACAAACTGAGCTGCAGCCCTCTGCAGCCTGGGATCAGATTACAAGGTGCTGACAGTGATGCTACAAGATGGGGCAAGGCCTTTGCCATCTCCCTCTCATCTTCATGCACTCTTTAGGCTTTGCTCCCAGAGTGGAAGCGTTTGGCCAGGAGAGCCTGTGAGGGTGTGAGGGTGGTGTGGTGCCTTGTGCTGTAACAGGGGAAGGGCAGAAATGCACACCTCCCACTCAGCTCCTCATCACCCACAGCTCAGCTGCACGCACCCAGGGACTCAGCCACCGCGGGTCTGATTGAAAGAGCTCAGAGCTTCCCGGGGATGCGGCTGAATTCCTGGCTGATAGACAGATCTGTAAAGTGTGACACCAGAGGTATCACATCATCAGTTCCCTTACAAAAAGTAGAATTGAGCTGGTGAGCAAAGCAGAAGCACGGGTCTTCATTGCTGAGTTCTCAGTGGAGATGCACAGTGGAGATGCGGGAGCCTCCAGGCACGGATCGCTTGTAAAGCAGCACAGAGGATGCAATTAATAATTTAAGTGACTACAGAGGCAGACGGGCACGGTGTGCCAGCCGCTCCTCGGCACTGCGCTGTCTGCACAGCCACCTTCAGAAGTCCTTGGCACTGCAGTAGCCAAGAGCTGCTCATGGATGCTTCCAGTCACCTTTATCTGTGCCCGTGCTGCAGCAAGCGGCGGGGAAACAGCAAGCAAATGGTGGAGGTTTGTGCAGCCCTGATGCTGAGCACACAGCCTGGGGCCTTCTGGTCGTGCTGAGTGGGGCAGGGCTCTCCCCTGTGCACCTGGAAACTGGGAGCACTTGCAGGCGTGCATCTCAGATGGGAGCCTATAGGTGTCACTGAGAGGCGCTGCTCTGGAAACCTCTCAGCTGTTCCTTGCGTTTTAAGCCAAGCTGCTCAGAGAGCTCTTAGTTGCAGCTTTCTGGTTGATTGCTGGGAGTTAGGTGGCTTGTGCTAGGAACATCAGATGTGCTCCAGCTTTGAGCTCTGAGTGAAGCTGGGAGTGAAAAGCGAACCGATTCAATGCAGGCACCTCCTGCTCCAGCTTTGGGTTCTGAAGGAGTCTTGAGCCATCAAGACTAAACTGAGGATTATTAAGGAATAACGATGGCCCGTAAGTGAAAACGCTATGGCACTTTGCACTGTTCCAGTCTCAAGGATCACTTTCTTCAAGGAAAACCTCAAATAAGGAAAGAACTGAAATGCTTCATGTGCTGGTGGTGAGCACGGAGTGGAGCTGTGTGTGTGCCCCGGGCTGGGGAGCTCAGTGCAGGCCCAGGTTAGGCTTTGGTTCTTCCACTGGCACCTGTTGCACTTTCTGCTTACTGATGACTTCATGCTCGTTGATGCTGGCCGTGCTCCCTTGTGTTTATTAGCACATGGTTACGTCTCGTGAAACTGATCAGCTCAGGACCATGCCCTGCCCAGTGTTTGTTGCTCTGCTCAGAAGTCTGTGGCACCGAGAATTCTGTGAACGCGCTGCGACTCTTGGGCCACGTTGGTAGCAGTGCATGAAGCATCCACTACTGACTGCAGGTGGCTTCACACAGCGGCGCAGCTGAAGTCCTTTTCTACCTTCTGCGTCCCGAATGGAGCCGTCACACCCAGCCAGGCACTGGGAGCAGTCATGGCCCAGCACCCGCATGTCCCAAAAACGTGCTCAGGCACTGTCTGGGAAAGTGCTAGTTGGCACAGGCCAGGAGCTGTGGGTGTGCTAACAAACAGGCTTGGGTGATCGCGGGCCGGTGCTCCAGTCCACACCTTGGCTCTGTTTCACTTACTAGTATAAACAGAGCCTTGCTGCTGTCGGTGCTGCCCATCCTGCAGTCATCCTGCAGCCAGAAATAGATCTCCTGGGAGTGACGCCGCTCCTCATCTTGCAAAACACAACTGTGGTGCAGGATGGACCGAAAGAAAAGGGCTCCAAAGCGTTTTGGGCTGAATGTGAATGTTATTTTTTGGTAGTCTTCAGTTTGCAGTCTTCATCAGTATTGTCCACAAGGTGTTGTTAGCAAGAAAGAATTCCCTGCAAGTTGCTTCAGGAGAACGTTGTCTCTCTGAGAAGCAAAACTGTTCCTCTAAGCTGCAGAGCTGCTGTGAGATGCTGTGCATCACTGTTAGAAGAAACCCAAAGCCTCAGCATGGTCTGAGTTGCTGCCTTTCAGAGCAAATAAGTAGCAACGGCTTCTGCTGTGGGACAGCAGAGCCCCTAACAGAGTGACAGCAGAGGAAGGGAGCGAATGGCAGGGGTGCTGCTCAGAGCCCCACTGGCACTAAAGCAGCCTTTGAGTGCTGGGTTGGGCACTGGGATCTAAGCTGTGGTATCTTCTACTTGGCCACTAAAGCAACTTTTTCAGAGGTGTTGACCTACAAAAGGTGTTTGGCTGTTGTTTGTCAGGTACTTATCCGTGTCTCTGTTCTTACTCTGGCTCATCTTCAGAGAGATGTTGCACGAGGGGCAGCAGGGCAGGGAGGGGTGAGTGTTATTGTTAGGAGATACAGGACCATCCAGTTCCTCATCCCCTCCCTGAGAAAGTCTGGACACCAGGGACAGCATCGCAAGGGAGTGTAACAGGATGGGGATGCAGATGTTCTGCCTCCATGGCCTTTGCAGCAGCCAGTATCTTCCATTTCCTGCCACATGTAGTCAGGAGAATGTGACACTGTGCTTTCTGTGGTCACTCAGTGAGCCTACTCACCATGGACTTTGTGTTTTACATTTAATTTATTATCATTAAATTTTATATGCTTTTTTATCAGTTGATATCACGAGATCCTCTGCAGTTCTTTTTCCAGTGAGCTACAGACTGTCATGGATAATTCTGTAGCAGCAGCAAACTTTGTCACATAATCAGCCAACCCCTCTCCAGGCCACTTAAGATGGATGTTCATGTGAAAAATGCACACTTAGCCCTATTTCAGGGCCCTTCTGTGAGGCCTACAGCCAGGGTAGGGTTCATATTTTAGGGCTTATTAATAAACACCAGCTCAAGCCTCCACCCAGAAACCAACCAGTCTGATGCTGGGTGAGCTAATCCCTCCAACTTACAAGCAGTAAATGAAATGGTTTAACAGCCAGCACTGCAAGGAAGAGGTGACAAGGGAAGAACAGAGCACTATCACAATGAGCAACTGTGACTTTCCCAAAGTACGGCCATAATTATTGGGAGTTCTGACTTAAGAGAGCAATGGTAGAGCAACTGGCAGTTTCATTCAGGGATTCATGTAGGTGGGCCCTGCCATCGGGTCCAGGCGTGCAGCTGCCCCCGAGCTGCCGCTGTGCTCCTGACAGCCACTCCTGCAGCCACTGCCTGCTGCCCTCTCATTTGGCCAGCTGTTCCACCTCCATCAGCCACTCCTGCGCTGCTCGCAGTCATCCTGTGTTCCTCATCACTGTGATCTGAGCGATGGCCTCCCTGCCATAAATCATAGAGTAACAGAAAAGCTTGAGTTGGAAGGGACCTGAAGGCTCATCAAGTTCATCCCTCCTGCTGCAGGCAGCGCTGCCAACCACTAGATTGTGTACTAGATCAGCTTGCCCAAGGCCCATCCAACCTGGCCTTGAACACCTCCAGGAACAGAGGTGCATCCTCAGCCCCTCTGGGCAACCACTGTCACCTGCTGTTGTGAATAACTGCTGTTTGAAGTGCCCTGCCGTCTCACTGCTCGGCGCAGGGCTGGATGCAGCAGGTGAAGCAGTGAGCAGGGTTGCCCAGGCACCGACTGGCTGGGGGTGAGTGGGGAGGTTTGCTGGGTTGTCCCTCACCTCCACAGGGCTTCCTTTGCAGGCACGTGCGTAACGGGGCGGTGATCGCACGCTGCAGCCAGCCCGAAATCAGCTGGTGGGGCTGGCGGAATGCTGACGACGAGTATCTGGTGACATCGATTGCCAAAGCCTGTGCCTTGAACCCTGGAGCGAAGGCACCCGGCGGCGCGCCGCACAACGGGAGCAGCGACGGCGGCGAGGCCTGCGAGGCTGACTTTGGTGAGACAACGCATTTCCTTCTGCTGTCCCCTACGTGTGCACGTGATACAGCGCTCCCTGCACCTAAATGTTGTTGCTGCTAACAGGGATGTCATAATGCAAGATTTAAACCTGGTATGCAGGTTCATAATGTGGGCCGTGCATGTGGGGTGGGTACACAGCCGGTGCTGTGGGAGGGAGGGAAGGAGGTGCCAGCACTCAGCCTGGGCTCTCTCTGCAGACTCGTCCCTGACCGCGTGTTCGGGTGTGGAGAACGTGGGCACTCCTCAGAAGCTGCTGATCCTTGATGCCAGGTCCTACACGGCAGCCGTGGCCAACAGGGCAAAGGGAGGAGGCTGTGAATGCGAAGGTACTGAGCGCATCCCAAAGCGCTTCTGGCACCGCTGAGCCTAGTGGGCCCTGGAGCAGGTTGGGTCAGGTTGGCGTTCCGGTGCTCGGTCTCTGGGATCACACTGCCCTTCTCAGTTGTGCAGAGTCCATTACTGCACAGAAACAGCTGCTGGCCCACCAGGCTTTCTAGAGAAACTGCCTACACTGAGATTGAGCAGTGCTGCTGTGGGGGAGCAACCAAACCGTGCGTGGAGGCAATCGCTGCAGTGGCAGCAGCAGTTCCTGAGTGTTTCTGTCTCTCTTTTGTTCAGAATATTACCCAAACTGTGAAGTCGTGTTCATGGGCATGGCCAACATCCACTCCATCCGGAACAGCTTCCAGTATCTGCGAGCTGTCTGCAGTCAAGTGCCAGACCCCAGCAAGTAAGTCACCTGGCTCTAGCCGTGGGAGAAGTGCTCACAGTGCTTAAACATGGCCCGTTTTGATCCCTGCTAATCTGGAATGGATTGCATCACGGGTTTAAGTATCTGTTGTCTGTATGTATCCTATTTTCTACCTTTCAGTAACATCGGGGAGAAATGGCAATTACATGCCAGTTTGTAGTTATTCCCAAGCTGGTTAACTCTTCTTTTTGACATATTTTTTAAAGAATCTTATTTTCATTGAGAAGACAAAAGTAACTTGGGTTAACATGTTGTTTTGCCACTGGAGGACTAAGCCATCGTCTCCTTGCTTTTTTGCACACCTTCTAGCTGGCTTTCAGCCCTGGAGAGCACCAAGTGGCTGCAGCACCTTTCTGTCATGCTGAAGGCAGCAGTGCTGGTCTCCAGTGCAGTTGACAGGGAAGGACGTCCAGTGCTGGTTCATTGCTCTGATGGCTGGGACAGGACCCCGCAGATCGTAGCGCTGGCAAAGATTCTTCTGGACCCCTACTACAGGACCATGGAGGTAAGGGTTGTGCTCCTCTGCCGTTTCCTGTTGTCAAATGGCAGTTCTTGTCTTTGAGTCTCAACAGCAAGGAGCAAAACTCCACGTGGCAATTAGCTTACTGGCATTTCAGAGCTGTTATTATGGGCATTGAATGTTCTGTGTGTTCTTCCTGCCTCTTTTTCGCTGTTCGCTGAAGTGCGTTGGTAAATAACCTGTTGTGTTCAAGGTGCAGCTGCTTCCCTGCTCTTCCTTGTGATTATTTTATTTATTTATGTTCATTCTCGAGGCTGTTTGTCATATAGAAATAACAGACGTCACTCTGTGTTTGAAAGCCTTCAGGTGTAGCTTTGCCCCCAGACCGAGCCACTAACAATTTCCTTGCCAGAGCTACATTAGTCCTGAGATCACTTGCCTCTGCTGGCTGATGGGCTTTGCCTTGTCTCACTCAGTGCCTACAGCAAAATTTTCTCTTTTATTTGCAGGGTTTCCAGGTGCTCGTTGAATCAGATTGGCTGGATTTTGGTCACAAATTTGGTGATCGCTGTGGTCACCAGGAGAAGGTGGAAGATCAGAATGAGCAGTGCCCAGTTTTCCTGCAGTGGCTGGATGCTGTTCATCAGCTTCTGAAGCAATTTCCTTGCCTCTTTGAATTTAATGAAGCCTTCTTGGTAAGAAATACACACGCAAACGCTTCTTTATTCCTTACCAACTGTGAGCAGAGGCAGAGAGGAGGCCGTGATATTTTATGGTGTTATAGTTGAAGGAAAGAAAAATCGAATTCTTTAAAAATTGGGAAGTGTCTGAGTACTGTTTGGGCTCTCTGCTGGCATTCCTCACATACCTGTGCGGGTTCAGCCCTGCCCTTTAGTTGAGGCATTCTGACCTGGTTCTGTATGTGCAATGCTGCTGACAGCTTCTCTTTAACTGCTTACATTTCTTCCTTCTCCCAGTGGGGACTGCAGGCTTGGCAGACCAAGCAGACTGGGCAGTGATGGAAGTTTTATGTTCAGCAGTTTCTTTGGATTGCTTCTTCTCCAGGTCCTTTTGCGGCCCAGTGAATTCACATACCGTCAGTAGCTGTGTTTTAATCAAAAGCTGCCATCAGCAGCACTGTTTTAACCCAAAGCTTGGTTTAAGAAAAAAATACGGGGAAATGATAGCTATTAATCTGTGTCTTGTCATGTAATACAGCTTAAGGTCATAGACACGGTATCAGTTGACTGTTGATTTCACTTTAACGAAAGTGCCTTCTGTTTTCCCCTCTTTGTCCTGCCCTGTGTGACAGAGAGGACAGCACTAAGGTCACCAGCTGGGTGAGAAGTGCTTGAATCTTCCCAGAGAGGTGGAAGATGTTATCCCTGGAGACACTGCTTCCCAATAACCATGACAACTGTTCTCCCTTTGATGCTGCAGGTGAAGCTGGTGCAGCACACATATTCCTGCCTCTATGGGACCTTCCTTGGGAACAGCCCGTGTGAGCGAGAGATGCACAACATCTACAAGCGTACCTGCTCCGTGTGGTCCCTGCTGCGGGCTGGAAATAAGAACTTCCACAATCTTCTCTACATGCCAGGGTCTGAGCAGGTGAGCATTGCTCCTGACCTCGCTTTCTGGGCTGCCCACTCGCCAGGCACTGCGAGAGGAGAGGCTGGAAGCTTTCCTGCCGCGTTCAGCTCTGAGCACAGTGGTTGTTGCAGGTGCTGCATCCCGTGTGCCACGTGCGAGCGCTGCACGTCTGGACAGCGGTGTATCTGCCGGCTTCCTCCCCGCACCCTTTGGGGCAGGACGACATGGACATGTACATGCCCCCTGGATCTCAGAGCCAGGAGTTCAGTGGCAGGTGTTTGGACAGGTAAATGCCTAGAGCTCCGTGCCGGGCTGCCTCTTACCCACAATCATCTTCCTCTTCTCGTAGTTCCTCTGTTTGACCTCTTGCACTCACAGCAAGAGCTGTGTTGTCCATCCACTTGCTCGCTGCTGCACTCAAAAGGCAGACTGCAGATGCCAGGCTCTGATGTTCTGCATTTCATGCTGCTGCACCTCTCCTCTCTTCCCACCCCATGATCTCCAATTAGGAACATTTCCATTATCACAGTTACAGCTGAAGTGAGGGGAGTTTCAAAGAGTTTTGTTTTGAGATTTGCTTTGCTTTGGGGTTCCAGATTACCAAAGACAAGATCTATGGACGACCTGCTTTCAGCCTGCGACTCCAGCAGCCCGCTGACCCGCACATCCAGTGATCCAAACCTGAATAACCACTGTCAGGAGGTGCGTGTGGGCCTGGAAGCCAGGCACGCTGCCACTGAGGGAGCCGAGCTGCACGTGGGAGAAGGCAGCGTGGCGGCTGCTGCTGAGACACAGCAAGTGGAGGAGCAGCAGGAAAATGCCCCCCTGCAAGCCAGCAGTGCTTTCAACAGCAGCACTGAGCATGAAGAGCAAAGGAAGAAGCTGAGCAGCTGGGCACCTGTGCCAGCGAATGACGTGTCTGTGGAGACAGAAAAGGAAAATGGAACGTACGTGGAGGAACTGGATGGTACATGCCCAACTCCAAATCCTTCCAAACAGGAAAATGTTGACAGGGTTTCCATCAGTTGTGGAAAGCAATTAGAATCCCGTTCCCAGGAACCTCTGAAGGCTGCTGGCTTGGCACCCGGTGGAGAAGGCTGCCCCAAGAAAAACACCACCTGCCAAGACGTTCCCAGCCAGGAGCCACCGGCACCCAGCGCTCCTTGTCAGGAGCCGGGCGTCCCCTGCCCAGATGAAGACAACAACAAAGGCTGTACTGGAAGGAAGGGGCTCTGTGAGGATCCCTGCCGGATGGGGAGAGTCCCACTGGAGCAGTGGCGCAAGCCCATTTCCCAGAGCCAAAGCAGCGAGTTCTCCTTTTTGGGGTCCAACTGGGACAGTTTTCAAGGAATGGTGACATCGCTCCCCAGCGGGGAGCCCACGCCCAGACAGCTCCTCTCCTACGGTTGTTGTAGCAAAAGGTTGAGCAGCAAACAGCTGCGGGCACCGGGCCTGTGTTTCAGTGGCCAGTGGGCTGCCAGGGAAGGTGCGAAAGGCTCAGTCTGCTCTGGCCACGTCGGCACGCATTTTGCAGGCTCTGCAGGGAAGCCCAGCCGTTCGTGGCTACCCTGCCACCTGAAGCAAGCGGCCGGGCCCAAGCACATGCCACCAAAATGTCCTTCTCCCGTGCCTCCTCTTTACCTGGATGACGACGGGCTCCCTTTCCCCACGGATGTGATTCAGCACAGGCTGCGGCAGATCGAGGCCAGCTACAAGCAGGAGGTGGAGCAGCTCCGCAGGCAGGTGCGGGAGCTGCAGCTGCGGTTGGACATCCGCCACTTCTGCGCCCCGCCGGCTGAGCCGCCCATGGACTACGAGGACGATTTCGTAAGTAGCTGCCTGACGGCCTCAGCTGCGCTCATCTCTGCCGCTGCACTCCCTGCACACCCCCACTGCCTGCTCCCAGCTACGCTCGCGTTCCTGTAACTGCAGAGCAGATGGTTAAGGCCATCGCTGTGTTTCTTCAGCCCCGTTCCCCTCATCCACAAGCCACGTCCACGTGCCTCCTGGAGGTGCTTCTGCTTCCAGGGGGCCAAGCGATGGCTCCTGTGTGGTTGTGAGTGCTTCAGTGCTTTGCCCCTCGCGTGGGGAAATGCAGAGCCACCCGTGTGCCCCTCGCAGGCGCTCTGTGGCTGGGGACGGAGTGCCCTTGGACAGGGTGTGTGACTCTCTTTTCAGACGTGTCTGAAGGAATCCGATGGCAGCGACACTGAGGACTTCTGCTCTGATCACAGTGAAGACTGTTTGTCAGAAGCGAGCTGGGAGCCTGTTGACAAGAAGGAGACCGAGGTATGTGTGCTGTAGTAGCAAATGCTGTAAGTGCAGCAGGAGAGGATGTTTCCTTTCTGGCAGCTGATTTCCATGGTTACAGCAATGATGAATAGGCTGGAAGCAGGGCTGAGAGAAGCCACTCTTGTCCTTTAAGGAAAGGGAGTGTTACATACTCATCTGCTGCATCCCACGGAAAGGAACCTGTGTGATGGGCTGTCTCAGGGCTGGCCTGTTCTTGTCCAGAGCAACATCTCAGCCTGCATTCCTGAGACCTGGTCAGTGTGGTGTTAGGCTTGGAGCTGATGAGGACTGCTGTTTGCCCTAGGTCACGCGGTGGGTTCCAGACCACATGGCCTCGCACTGTTTTAACTGTGATTGTGAATTCTGGCTGGCAAAACGGAGGCATCACTGCAGGTAAACAATTTTTTTGCTGCAGTCCCACTCTTCTCTACCTGTCACTTGAACGTCCCAAAATGCCTTCTGCAATGTTTGCCCCCTCCACCTCTGAAGAGAAATTATTAGGACCTTTCTTTATTTACCAGATCTCAGAATTTCCCTGCAGATTCCCAGTCTGCTGTGTTTTCCTTGTTTCCATTTCCCTGAGGTTTTTGATCCTCCTGACCCCAAACTGGATCCTTTACACTTGCTCAGTTTTTTTCCTGGTGTTTGCAGCTCTCTTCTCACCGCCTTTCTTCCTTCCTGACAGGAACTGTGGAAATGTGTTCTGCGCCGGTTGCTGCCACCTGAAGTTGCCCATCCCTGATCAGCAGCTGTATGACCCTGTCCTCGTTTGTAACTCCTGTTATGACCACATCCAAGTGTCTCGTGCCAGGGAGCTCATGAGCCAACATCTGAAGAAGCCCATCGCCACAGCTTCCAGCTGAATGCCAGACAAGGGACCTGTCTAAGCCCAGCCTTTTCTCTCATGGGTTTTAAGGGTGACTCTGCCTCCACTGTCATTGTGAAGGCCTTTGGTGCAACACTTGAACACCAAGCTTGAATGCACTGTCTTCAGCAGTCTTACGATCAGACTGGAGCAGAGGAGCTCAGATTAGAGAGCACAGAGTGCCTCCACTCTGGTACCAGTGGGCCGTACATTGTAGTCTGACCTAGGGCAAAAGAGGGGATTGCAACCTCTTATGTTTGTGGGCTGGAAAGCAATGTTTTCACAGATATTGCCAGTGCAAAGTACCCCCAAAGCAATAGAAAGGCATGTTTAGAACCAACTCCCCCAACAAAGGCAGGCTGCTGTACAAGAAGGAAGAGGGCAGACTTGAGGTGGTGCTGCGTGCTTTGGAAGGGCCTCAGCCTGGAGCAGTTCTGTAGATTCTCTTTCCATGAGTGTGATTTGTGATCAGCTTGGTGAACAAGACTCGTTAGCCATCACTAATTGATTTTCTCTAGAGCATTGAAGAGAAATTCATTCTGGTGGAAACAGGCCGAGCAGATTCTGCCTGTTCTCGTGCTCTGCTAGGATTGGTGAATGCACCTGACTTTGCCCTGCCCGCCAGCTGTGCGGGGCGATGGGAGACTGGCTTTTTCACTTCTGCTCTGCCCGTCTGCTTTGTCTGCGGTGTGTCACAGCCTGGTGCTAACACAGGAATGGCACCTGATCCTCTCCTGGCATGGAAACAGAACTCACGTTCCTGTGTTGCTCCTCCTCCCCTTTTCTGCCCTCAGCTCTCCACTTCCTACTGCTCTGTATCCTGAAAACTTGATACCTTGAGGGTATAGGCCATAATATGTTGTTTTACCTCCTGGAATGTGCTGTCTGGTGTATGTGAGGGTTTCAGTCCAAATGCTGCTATATATTTCTGTGCACTTAATGTAACCCGAAAAAGGGAGAATGAAGCATTGATACCAAAATGGAGGTGGGGAAAGACACTGGCTGACACAGACACTACAGCCTGTGCTTTTCACTTCAGGATGTACAACCAAGCTGCAGTGATAAACATGACACGTGGCATCTGTTCAGCGGTGGAAACAATATCTCTGGTTTGCCCCAGTGCTACCTAAAAATGCCTCTTGAATTTGACTTCCTTTTTTTTTGTCTCCTGTACAGTGGTCAGAGTTCAGAGTTGCCAACTTGTAATTGCCTCTCTGCTTGTTCCTTAAACTAGAGAGCAGGAATCCCAACTCATTCCAAAAAAGAAAAGTAACTGGGTTTAGAAAGTAAGAAAGATTTTCAAAGAGAAGATGGCTTTGGGTGAGCTTCAGTTTCATTGCTAGATCTCTGGGGGAGTTTCCATCCTGCCTCCTTTCCAAGATATCTGCAGGTATTAGTGAGGAAAAGAGTTTGAATGTGGGGCATTTCTTTCCAGAAATGCAGGTTTTCTTCCCAAAGACATGGAAATGCCTGCATCATGAGCTGGGACCTCATATGGTTGGAGGGAGGAGCTGTGAGGGCATTTGGTCAAACAAAGCAAAGTACTTTACGCTGTTGTGACCTCCCAGACTTTTGCTGATGGTTTGTCATCTCCACCAGAGGGAATGGAACAGTGACCCTTTCCTGCACTTTGATATGTCAGCCTCTGGTTTTGTAAATCCCAGTAGTGCAAACCGAGCTAGCATCACCTGAAGACCCTGTACCTACTTGGACTCTGCTTCTTTTCCATACTGGGAACAACCAATATGGCTTTGGGACGAGAAGGCACCTTGCTTCAGATTCTCCCCTGCCTTGTACCTTGCAGTCATTGCCAGACGTGGAAGAGTGACCATTGGGCTGGCAGAAGAATCTGCTCCTGTTTTACACGTGTTGGAATGACTGCAAGCAATAAGGAAGCCAGAAACTAGGTACTCCTGGCCCTTCTGTTCAGGCCATTAGTCCAAACTGCTTTTAGCTCTTGTGAGTTTCAGCGTCACAATGTGCTGGCCAAAAACTCTAAAATCAGTTCTATAGCATTGTGACAAACAAAATGTGCTGTACAACTCAATACAGTTGAAATAAAATCTCTATATTAGTGCTGCTGCGTCTGGACCCATTATTTCATTTGTGGTGCGTTCTGGCTGAACGTTTCCCTGGTTGTTGCTTGCAGCCCTGTCCCTTGGTTAAGGTATGTTAGGAATTTGGTATTCCTTCTCACAAATAATCATGGCTGGGACACAAAGCACTCTGTGTCGTGATCTTCTCCAAAGCCCTGTGCTCTGTACCAAACAAACCATGGCTCCCCAGGACAGCAGCGCCCTCCAGTCTCTCTCTTAATGACTCAGTGAGGAATTTTTTTCTTCCGAAGAAGAGCTGCTGGGGAGGATTTGCTGGCTTTTCACCAACGTGTTTGTACCACTTTTGCCTCTTAAGCTGCATTAGCTTTGAGCATCCCTAGGGATGGGATGGTTTTACTGGCTTCTGCATAGCTGGATCAGTGCCTGAGTTCCAGTTGAGGAGCATCAGTGTTCCTCCTGTGTTCTCTGGTGAGCTCATCCCTGCCCATTCCACCTCTGTACCTGGTGGCTGGTTGTGTTCCTGGCTGCAGAATGGCAGCTGGGGGCTGCTTTGATAAGTCAACCTGCCCTGCCAGGGATGACGTGGGTATCCTGCCAATCTGCTGGGGAGCTGGAGTGAATCTTTTAGAAAGTCTGTCTTCAATTTAAAGCATCCGGGGCGTTGAACTGGTCTCCTGTGAAGTGTTCAGGTCAGACAGGTGCCTACACAGTTCGTTGCATCAGAAATATTAGCAGAAAGATAGCTTGTCACCTTTAAAAACCATCCGTTGCTCCTGGAACAGTCACACAAAGGAAGATCGCCTTTGAAGGCAATGTTTCTGGATGTAAATGACGAATGCTGTTTCTGTAATAAAAAAAAAAACCCAAACCAACAACCCCACAGATTAACTTCCAGGCTCTGCTCTTAATGTTTCCGTGCCATCTGGCTGTGCAGGAAGGGCTGGCTGCTGGATGGCTCTTCTGGCATCTCACGGCCAGATGGAACAGTACTTGAGCAGAACTGCCCCCATTCAGAGCTCTGTGAACACTTTGCTCGAGATACTTGGAACTCGTGCTGTCAGGCTGGCCGTGCCAGCAGGGACGCTGCACATCCATGAGTGCTGAGCGCAGAACAAAGCGTTATCGCTTCGAGGATATAAAGCCACAATTTGCCAACACGTTCAGCCTGAAGTAATCTATGTGTGCATGCTGAAATGTGTCTAAACCCAGCACAAACAGTGAGATCAAAGCCTTCCCCTATCAGTGCAGTAACTGCCGTGAATTCTTAGCAAATTAACAACCGGAACTGCTTATGATGTACCATAATATCTCATCAGCCACTGAACAAAATAAACACAGATTTAGGTGTAGTGAGAAGTCAGGTCAAGCTTGTGATGGCTGGGTAGTATTCAGTCGCTAAGCCATTAATAGATAATGCTAAAACTGCAGCGGATGTGAAGAGACATGTTAAGCCTCCGTTATAAAAGAGGAAAAAAAGCAAGAATGTGATAGATGGCCTTCTAGTGAACCCTGCAAGTACTGAACAGGAAACAGTTTGAAGTGAGAGACAGACAAGGAGGATGCAGGCTTTCTGAGGTGTGTTTGATGTGTTTCCGACCCTTCCATTTGCAGTGGAACAGGCAGTAGTAGTAAAACACTCTCCCCAAATGGCGCATTTCCATCAGTGCTAACTGTGGTACGGTCCAGTCTGTGGTACTGTGGGCATTGTGGAACCTCAGAAGCTAACAGTGATAAATATGGCACATTGTCCTTAAGAGAAAACTGCTGCATGCAGTCCCAGTCTGTTCTGAAAACAAAAAGGAAAAAAAAAGTTGCTGATGGCAGCACACATCTTGGGTCTCACAAAGTCCAGGTTAGTTACACAACTTCAGTCTCCAGCACGGCGATGCAAGTGCAGTTTTTACTGACATGGCTGCATCTTTTCTCACTGAAAACACGCTTTGAGCCCACGTCAGCCTTCGGGATGGAAAAGCTGGGCCTGCTGGCCTGGCCACTGAGCGGGGGGTGCTGGGTCAGCCTGGGTTGGGGGCTGCTTGTGTGCCTCACGTGTCCGGGGATAAAATGCTCAGTGTCACAAGTGCCACTTCCCTTGTGTGGCTGTGACCACATTTCGTACTCAGGCAATAAAGTGCTTCCTGTTACTCTTCTGTAAAGCAGTCGTGCTGTACAAAAATGAGCAACAGAGAATGGTGTATTTGTTTATCAAGAACATATACCAAGAAAACGCAAGAACAATGTAGTTTCATTTATGATTAAAAAAAAAAGAAAGAAAAAGCCAATTTTCTTTACATTTGCATTTCTTATAAAATGGCTGCAAAGGCATCCAAGGCAATGCTCGTGTGGGGAAGAAAAACTGAAGTATGTGTGGGGTTGGAAGGGTGACAAGGCAGGTGTTGAGTGAAGGCTGGAGGGGAGATTGAAAGCATGCAGGAAAGGAGAGATGAGGAGAGGAAGCAGCATCAAGGCTGGCTGAGAAGGCCAGACCTGCTGCCAGCTGACAATGCAGACCTCGCACTGACCAACAGCCTGCAACTGATCCGCACTTCCTACTGAGCAGCAGTTCGTTATTACTGATCTGTTTCAAGCGAGAAGAAACCTCCAGTGCTCCCCAGAAACACCTTTGCTCAAAGACAAAGATCAGAGCCTGATCCACCCAGCGACCAAAGGGGATTCTTACCTCCTCCTGGTCGCCAGGCTTGCTTGGTGAGTCAAGGACACTCCCATCGTGTGACACAGCTACCCGAGAGCTATGGAGCTGTTTCCTTCATGCTTCCCTCCTGCTGCATCTGCTGTGAAATCGTCTCGTGTGACCTGGCATGAGCTGTGAGGCACCAAAAGGTGCAAGCCCTGGCTTTGCCTGGAGCATGCAGCACTCTGGATGCTGATGAAAAAACATTCCATCGTTAAAAAGTCATCTGTTTTGCAGCTATGGGCTCATCTACAAAGTACTGGAGGAAACACTTTGAAGGGACTTCTTAGTTACAGGGACTCATTCTCTGCATTTTAGTTACGAGCTGCATATTGCTGAGTACGGCCTGAGTTACGGATAACACCATAAAACCACTCCTTTCCCAACATCAGGCCTTTGAGGTCTTCTTGCAGTGCAGCTACGGAGGGGAAGAAGAGAAGCTTTAAGTAATTTCACCGATGTAACGCAGGAGACAAGATGGGAAATTGTCTTGTGGGCTTTTTCTTGATTTTCAAGCTCACGTGCAGGGTGCTTTACTTTCAAGTTAGCGCTGTTTACACCTAGCAACGTCATGCGATTCTCCAGAGGATAAATTACAAATCGTTACTGAAGATACAAAAAGGCAAAGGCCTGGAAGATGTGTCACCTCCACACGGGTGGGAGGAGCTGGCGAGCTGTGCGCCATCGCGCAGCTTAAAGCCACTCTTTCTTCACTCTTCAGTGGCTTAAAGCCACTCTTCCACGGCCCAGGTCTGTGTGCGACAAAGCTGGCAGTATGCAATATGCTGACGGTGCTCATTCCCACTGTTGCTACGACTCAGAATAAGGACAAATGTGCCCCATCCGCTCAGGACGGAGAAATAATGCTCTGGCAGAGAGGCAGCACTCTCTCCCAGCCCTCCTCACGATCACTGCTTGCCCCGTTCCCTGCTTTACCCGCCTGTTCTGCTCTGAGGTGACCCCAACGCCTCTGAGCCGGGCACAGACCAACACCTCCAGCTGCCCCCACGCCGCCAAAGGTCGCCTCCTAGCGCTTATTTCTGCACGAGGGAACCCACGGCCACCACGTCACGGCCTCATTTTAACTCTACTGCTTGCACTGGGAGAGACCAGAACCGCGTGTGGACTTTCAGGGCAGAAGCGACAACCGTTTCATCTCTCCCGCTCCAATCGACACCCGCTTTCTCCTCCTTTCTGCAGGACCAACCCGCGGGGTTTCTCTCTCCCCCAGAGGCGCCCACAGGAGGCAGCCGGCCGTCCCAGCCCTGCGCCGGGGCTCCTCCAGAGGAGCCATCCCTCGCCGAGCCGTTATTCAGGCTGAGAGGGTGCGAGGGGGAGAGCTGAGGGACGGCGGGGCTGCGGTTGGACGGGGAGGCGCTGAGGGAATGGAGATGGCGGCGGTGCCGCGCGGCTGGCGGCTCTCGGGTCGCACCGGCGCTGCCCTGCGGCGTCCCTCGCGCGGCGGCCGTTCGGTGCGGAGCGGCCGCGGCCATGGAGGAGCCGCTGCCGCCCCCCGCCATCAACCCCAACAACTTCCCGGCCAAGCTGTGGCGGCTGGTGAACAGCCCGCGGTTCCGCTCCATCCGCTGGGACGCCCGCGGCGAGGGGCTGCTGATCGACCAGCCGCTGTTCGAAGCCGAGCTGCTGGGCCGCGCGGGGCCGCGCCAGGGCGGAGACGGGGCGGCCGGAGAGCTCTTCAAAACCACCAACTTCACCAGCTTCATCCGCCAGCTCAACCTGTACGGTTTCCGTAAGGTGGTGGCGGCTCCGGCGCCGCCCAGGGCCGGCTCGGGTCCGCAGAGCGACGGCGGTTCGGGCGGCCACCTGCACCACTTCCACAGCCCGCATTTCCGCCGCGACCGCCCCGACCTCCTGGTCCATCTGAAGCGCATGACGAGCGCCAATAAGGCCAAGCTGGCGGCCGGTCTGGAGGTCGGCAGCCGCCCGCCCAACCGCTTCCAGCGCCCGCCCGGAGAGCCGCCGCCGCCGTCGCCCCCGACGCCCGGCAAGGCAGACAGGAGCGGTGAGCGGCGGTGGGGCGGCTGGGTGATGCCGCGTGGGGCAGACGTGCGATGTGCGATGTGCGATGTGCGATGTGCGATGTGCGATGTGCGATGTGCGATGTGCGATGTGCGATCCCCTCTCCGGCCCGGCCGCGCCACCTCGGGTTGCCTTGAGGCAAAGAACGGCACGCGGCCTTTCTGAGGCTGACAGGGCAGGAGGTGGTGCGGCTGAGCGGGGCACGGTAGAAGGAAGGGATGCCATCGAGAGGGATCTCGACAGGCTGGAAAGGTGGGCAGGGTGAACCTGAGGAGGTTCAACACGGCAAA